CCCCAATTTCCCCATCACCGCCTTCCTGCTGACGCTGGTGAGGATGATGGGGGGCTGGTGGGGGGGTGTGTGGGGGGTAGCACCCCCCGGGGGGGCTGCTGCTGGCCCCCCGGGGTGACGGGGTGGCTCGGCCCCAGCATCTCCCGGAGGAGGAGGGGTACATGCCCCCCATCCGGCTGCGGGTGCTGGACACGAGGGGTTTTGGGTACCGGCCCGAAGTGGGGCAGGCCTGCGTGCGGGACCTGGGGCGCTACTGCTGCCAGCCCCACGGCGAGGGGCAGCCCCACAGCTCTGGAAACCTTCCTCCTGACTCTGGTATGGCCCTGCCCAGCCCTGGTACCCTCTGCTCCATTCCTGCCCCATCCATGCCACTCCCTGCCCCATCTGTGCTACCCCCTACCCTATCCCTGGTGCCCCCTACCCTATCTCTGGTGCCTCCTGCCCCATCCCTGGTACTCCCTGCCCTATCCTTGGAACACCTCCCTGCCCCATCCATGGTATCTCCTGCCCCATCCGTGGTATCTCCTGCCCCATCCCTGGTAACCCCTGCTTCATTCCTGATACCTCCTGCCCCATCCCATCCCATCCCTACCTCATCCCTGCTCCATCTCTGGTACCTCCAGCTCCATCTCTGGTACACCCTACCCTATCCCTGGTGGCCCCTGCCCCATCTCACGTACCTTCTGCCCCATTCCTGGTAACCCCTGCCTCATCCCAGGTACCTCCTGTCCCATCTGTGGTACATCCTGCCCCATCCCTGCCACTCTCTGCCCCATCTCTGGTACCCCCTACCCTATCCCTGGTGGCCTCTGCCCCATCCCATGTACCTTCTGCCCCATCCTTGGTAACCCCTGCCCCATCCCTGCCTCATCGCTGGTACCCTGTGCCCCATCCCCACCTCATCCCTGATACCCCCTACCTCATCCCTGCTCCATCCCAGGTACCTCCTGCCCCATCCTAGGTACCTCATTCCCCATCCATGGTATCTCCTGCCCTATCCCTGGTAACCTCTGCTTCATCCCTGGTACCCCCTGCCCCATCCCATCCCTACCTCATCCCTGCTCCATCTCTGGTACCTCCTGCCCCATCCCTGCCACTCCCTGCCCCATCTCTGGTATCCCCTACCCTGTCCCTGGTGGCCCCTGCCCCATCCCATGTACCTTCTGCCCCATCCCTGCCCCATCCCTGGTACCCTCTGCCCCATCCCATCCCTACTTCATCCCTTCTCCATCCCAGGTATCTCCTGCCCCATCCGTGGAATCTCATTCCCCATCCCTGGTATCTCCTGCCCCATCCCTGGTAACCCCTGCTTCATCCCTGATACCTCCTGCCCCATCCCATCCCATCCCTACCTCATCCCTGCTCCATCTCTGGTACCTCCAGCTCCATCTCTGGTACACCCTACCCTATCCCTGGTGGCCCCTGCCCCATCTCACGTACCTTCTGCCCCATTCCTGGTAACCCCTGCCTCATCCCAGGTACCTCCTGTCCCATCTGTGGTACATCCTGCCCCATCCCTGCCACTCTCTGCCCCATCTCTGGTACCCCCTACCCTATCCCTGGTGGCCTCTGCCCCATCCCATGTACCTTCTGCCCCATCCTTGGTAACCCCTGCCCCATCCCTGCCTCATCGCTGGTACCCTGTGCCCCATCCCCACCTCATCCCTGATACCCCCTACCTCATCCCTGCTCCATCCCAGGTACCTCCTGCCCCATCCTAGGTACCTCATTCCCCATCCATGGTATCTCCTGCCCTATCCCTGGTAACCTCTGCTTCATCCCTGGTACCCCCTGCCCCATCCCATCCCTACCTCATCCCTGCTCCATCTCTGGTACCTCCTGCCCCATCCCTGCCACTCCCTGCCCCATCTCTGGTATCCCCTACCCTGTCCCTGGTGGCCCCTGCCCCATCCCATGTACCTTCTGCCCCATCCCTGCCCCATCCCTGGTACCCTCTGCCCCATCCCATCCCTACTTCATCCCTTCTCCATCCCAGGTATCTCCTGCCCCATCCGTGGAATCTCATTCCCCATCCCTGGTATCTCCTGCCCCATCCCTGGTAACCCCTGCTTCATCCCTGATACCTCCTGCCCCATCCCATCCCTACCTCATCCCTGCCCCATATCTGGTACCTCCTGCCCCATCCCTACCTCATCCCTGCTCCATCCCAGGTACCTCCTGCCCCATCTGTGGTACCTCCTGCCCCATCCCTAGTACCCCCTACCCCATCCCTGCTTCATCCCTGGTACCTCCTGCCTCATCCCCACCCCATCAGGGAAGATGAGAAGATGGACAAGGTCTGGGATGAGGAAGGGGATGGGAACGGGATGGGGACAGGAATGAAGGTGGGATGAGAACAGGATGGGGACAGGGATGGGACAGTGGTGGGATGGGGACATGGCTGGGATTGGAACGGGGATGAGGATGGACAAGGGCTGGGATGGGGAATGGGAT